AGTCACAGACTGAAACAGGCTCCAGGCTCTGAGCCGGCAGTCAGCACAGAGCCCGACGCGGGGCTCGAACCCACGAACCGCGAGATCATGACCTAAGCGAAAGTCGGACGCTTAACCGACTAAGCCACCCAGGCGCCCCAATATTTTGATTTTTTAAAATGTTTATTTAATTTTGAAAGAGAGAGAGAGACACAGAGTGTGAGTGGGGGAGGGGCAGAGAGAGAGAGGGAGACAGAATCCGAAGCAGGCTCCAGGCTCTGCACTGTCAGCACAGAGCCTGATGCGAGGCTCAAACTCATGAACCATGAGATCATGACTTGAGCCGAAGTTGGACCCTTAACCCACTGAGTCACCCAGATGCCCCTAGCCCTTGAATATTTTGAATATCACCCCTGCAAAAGCAATGTGGTTGCCTCTTATGTGGGACATCATATGTGGTGTGAGAGGCAAAAATTTTAAGTTCAAATTATCCGTGCAAATTCCTGAAATAGGGCTGCATTCATTTGCCTGTAGTTCTGAGTGTATTCCTTTAATTTTTATCACTGGTTCACTTTGGCCTGCAATTAATGCATCACATGTGGATACCTGATTGCTCTGATACCTGAACATTCTTTGCCATAGTCAAATTCTTCATATGGTGTTTTCATAGCTTTTATCAACACATAAAACATAGATACCAGTGCCTGACACAAAGAAGGGTTAGGGTAGGGGAGAATATTTAGGGGAATTCTAGGAAGTCAAGCGTGAATGTGATGCTACGTCTCTGTTTTGAATGTGTGTGGTCTAGAATTACATGGAGAAGGCTAGCTGGTCAAATCTTTTACCATACACAGGTAGTACACATGCAAATTAGAATCAAGGATCATAAATACTTAACCTGGGACAGTCTGAGTGTTATGAGAGTAAATGGGAGGAACATTCACACAAGGATGTTAAGGAAAGTTTTCTAGTGAAAGTGACAATTAAGATGGAAGAACTAGAGAAATGAAAAATGTGGGAAAAAAAAAAAAAAGGGCCAAAGAAAGAAGACAGCATGAGACACAGTTCAGAGTGTGTGTACTGGGGTGAGGGGAGTGGGTGAAAACACTGGGAAGAAGGGTAGGAACAAGATTAATCTCAAATTTATCCACTCTCTCCTTTGCTACTGAGATCAGCCTGGCCCAGGCATTCATTGTCTTTCCTGTGGACCCAGCTTCAGGCTCCTTGTGGGTCTCCCAAAGTCTTATGTTGCCTCTCTTTAATCCATAGAGGGAGGCTGAACTTCCTAAATGAGAAACTGTTTCTATCAATCTTCAGTTTAAAACCCTTTATTGACTGCAGACCAATATTTAATAAAAATTTAAATATATAAAAAGGATAATACATCATAATCAAGTATGGTTTATCCCAGGAATGCAGGCTTTGTTCAATAATGTTGGACAAGCTGATTCTAAAGTTCACACAGAAATGCGAAGGACCCAGAATAGCTGAAATATTTGAAAAAGAAGAGTTTCTAATTTCAAAACTTACTACCAATCTACAATAATCAAGACAGTGTGGTACCAGTCAATGGAATAGAACTGAGGGTCCAGATAATAAACCTATACATCTATAATCGATTGATTTTTGATAAAGTTACCAAGTTCATTCAGTAGGGAAGAATAGTCTTTTCAACAAGTGGTGTTGAGACAACTAGATATCCCCTACCTCAAAATATATGAAAATTAATTCAAAAGAGATCAAAGACCTAAATGTAAGAACTAAAGCTATAAACTTCTTAGAAGAACTCATAGGTGAATTTTTATAATTTTAGATTTGACAATGATTTCTTATATATAATACCACAAGCCCAAGCAACCAAAGAAAAAAGTAGATACATTTGGCTTCATCAGATTGAAAACTTTTGAGCATCAAAGGACACTATCAAAACAATGAAAAAGATGGAAAAATTATTTATAAATCATATATCTGATAAAGATCTGGAATTTAGAATATATAAAGAACTCTTACAACTCAACAACAAAAAGATAAAACATGTAATTTAAAAATGGGTCTAGGATTTGAATAGACATTTCTCTAAAGAGGATATTTACAAATGGCCAAAAAGCACATGAAAAGGTGTTCAACATTATTAGTTTTTAGGGAAAGGCAAATCAAAATCACAATAGAGATATCACTAAAATGGCTATTTTAAAAATAAAAAATAACAAATATTGGCGAATTTGTAGAGAAATGGAAGCCCTCATGTACTGCTAGTGGGAATGTAAAATAATACAACCTTTTTGGAATACAGTTTGGCAGTTTCTCAGAAAGTTAAATAAAGTTTTACTGCATGACCCAGAAATTCCACCCCTAGGCATATACCTTCCCCTCAAATGAAAATAAATGTTCAAATAAAAAAATAAATGTTCATACCCTCATTATCCATAAGAGTCAAAAGGTGGAAATAACTAAGTGTTCATCAACTTTTGAAGAGATAAACAACATGTGGTACATCCATACAATGAAATACTATTTAGTCATAACAAAAATGAAGTGTTGACACACACTACATGGATAAACCTTGAAAACTTCATGCTAAGTGAAAGTAACCAGTCACAAAAGGCTACATATCATATGATTTCATCTGTCTTAAGTGTCTGGATTAGACAAATACATAGAGCTAGAAAGTAGATTAATGGTTGTCAGGGAATAGAAGAAAGAGGGAATTGGAGTTGATGCTAACAGGAAGGGTTTCTTTCTGGAGTGATGAAAATGCTCTGGACTTAGTGCTGATGGTTACACAACATAGTTTATGTACTAAAAACAACTAAACTTCATACTTTTAAATGGTGAATTTTATGTTATATAAGTTTTATCTCAATTTAAAAAAGCTATTCTGAGGAAAAGAGCAATTAATGAAATTCACCATAACAACAGACTAGAAAAGAAAAACATAATAATCTTAATAGATACAGAAAAAGAATTTGACAAGATACGACATTCACTCATGATGTGCTGTTCTCAGTAAACTAGGAACTAACATTTTTTGAGTTTTATTTTAAACAAGTCCAGCAAGCATCACATTAAAAAATGAAAGAGAAATTTCTCCTACAAAAATTGGAAATAAGACCAGAATATTCACCTTCGTAAGTAAGTAAGTAAATGAAGAAGGGAAGGGAAGGGAAGGGAAGGGAAGGGAAGGGAAGGGAAGGGAAGGGAAGGGAAGGGAAGGGAAGGAAAGGAAAGGAAAGGAAAGGAAAGGAAAGGAAAGGAAAGGAAAGGAAAGGAAAGGAAAGGAAAGGAAAGGAAAGGAAAAAGGAAAGGAAAGGAAAAAGGAAAGGAAAGGAAAGGAAAAAGAAAATTCACTCTCACCACTCCTATTCAGAATTGTACTGACAGATGTAGCCAGTGCAATAAAGGAAGAAAAAGGCAGGAGGTGGGGGGAAAGCATGCAGAGTGGAAAGGAAAAAATAAAACTGTCTTATTTGTGGATTACATGTTGCATGGAAAATCCTAAAGAATCTACAGAAAAAGCTCCTGTAACTAATAAGCTATTTCAGGAGGTTCTCAAGTTACAAGATCAATATATAAAAAACAGTTGCATTTTTATGCTAACAATGAACATTGGGAAATTTAAATTAAAATGTACCATTTACAATAACACCAAAAGACCGTGAGATACTTAGATATAAATTTAACAAAATGTGTATGATTTCTGTATCCTAAAAGCTATGAAACACCAATGAGAGAAATCAAAGACCTAAGTAAATTGAATGATATACTGTGTTCATGGACTGGAAAACTCAGTATTGTTAAGATCCATACATTCAGCACAATGCCAATCAAAATTCTAGCCACTTATTTTGTAAAATTGATAAGCTGATTCTAAGAAAGTGGGTGATGGGCATTGAGGAGGGCACTTGTTGGGATGAGCATTGGGTATTGTATGGTAACCAGTTTGACAATAAATCATATTAAAAATTTTATATGGAAAATGAAAGAAAGTAGAATATCCAGAACAGTTTTTTTCAGAACTGTTTTTAAAAAGAAGTTAAATACATATCATTAGGTATTTAGTGGATACTTCATACACTACCTGATTTTAAGACTTACTATAAAGTTACAGAAATCAGGAGAGTGTGGCATTGGCAAAAGGATAGACATAAAGATCAGTGGAATAGAATAGGTCTGGAATTGACTGATGCATATATAGTCAACTGATTTTTAAAAAAAGGCACAAAGACATTTCAATGGAGGCTTCAGTGGTACAATCACACATCCATAGCAAAAAGAAACCAAAAGAAAATGTCACCCATATCTGATACTATATTAAGCTTAATTCAAGGGGCCCCTGGGTGGCTCAGTAACTTAAGCATCTGACTTCGGCTCAGGTCATGATCTCGTGGTTTGTGGGTTCGAGTTCCGTGTTGGGCTCTGTGTTGCAGCTTAAGAGCCTGGAGCCTGTTTTGGATTCTGTGTCTTCCTCTTTCTGATCCTCCCCCACTCACACTCTGTCTCTGACTCTCTCTCTCAAAAATAAATAAACATTAAAAATTTTTAAGATTAATTCAAAATAGACCATGGTGGGGCGCCTGGGTGGCTCAGTCGGTTGGGCGTCCAACTTCAGCTCAGGTCATGATCTCAGGGTTTGTGGGTTTGAGCCCCGCATTGGGCTCGGTGCTGGCAGCTGGCTCAGAGCCTGGAGGCTGTTTTGGATTCTGTATCTCCTCTTTCTGACCCTCCCCTGTTCATGCTGTCTCTCTCTCTCTCTCTCTCAGAAATAAATAAAACATTTAAAAAATTTCAAAATAGACCATGGAGTGAAATGTAAAGTCTAAAATACAATACTTGTGGAAGAAAACACAGGAGATAATCTTTGTGACCTGTGTTAGGTAAAGAGTTCTTAGCTATGACACTAAAAGCATGGTCCATTAAGTAAAACTGATAAATAAGACTTCATCTAAATGAAAAATTTTTGCTCTGTGGACACTATTAAGAGAATGGGCAGGTAAGCTATAGACTGGAAGAAAATATTTGCAGATTTTTTTTTCTTTTTTTAATGAATATTTTTAAAGTTTATTCATTTTGAGACAGAGAGAGAGAGTAGTGGGCAGAGAGAGAGAGAATTCCAAGTAGGCTCTGCACTATCAGTGTAGAGCCCAATGTGGGACTTGATCTCATGGACTAGGAGATCATGACATGAGCCAAAATCAAGAGTCAGACACTAAACTAACTGAACCATGCAGGCGCCCCTCCTTTTTAAAATTATATAGCTGACAAAGGACTTCTATTCAGAATATACAAAGGACTCTCAAAAACTAAACAATAAGAAATCAAACAATCCAATTAAAAAGCAAGCTAGATATTTTATTTTTATTTTTTTTTATTTTTAAAATGTTTTCATTGGGGCGCCTGGGTGGCTTAGTCGGTTAAGCGTCCGACTTTCGCTTAGGTCATGATCTCGCGGTTCGTGGGTTCGAGCCCCGCATCGGGCTCTGTGCTGACTGCCAGCTCAGAGCCTGGAGCCTGCTTCAGAGTCTGTGTCTCCCTCTCTCTCTGACCCTCCCCTGCTCACGCTGTCTCTCTCTCTCTCTCTCTCCTAGAAATAAATAAAAATATTTAAAAAAATGTTTTTATTTATTTTTGAGAGAGAGACAGAGAGAGACAGAGAGACAGAGAGAGAGAGAGTATGAGCAGGGGAGGAGCAGAGAAATAGGGAGACAGAATCTGAAGATGGCTCCAGGCTCTGAGCTGTCAGCAAAGAGCCTGATGCTGGGCTTGAACTTGTGAACCACAAGACTGTGACCTGAGCTGAAGTCAGATGCTTAACCACTGAGCCACCCAGGCACACCAAAAGTAAGCTAAATATTTTAACAGACACTTCACCAAAGAAGATACATGGATGGCAAATAAGCACATAAAAACATCCTTCATGTCATTAATCATTATGGAAATGCAAGTTAAAACCACGATGAGATACTACTACATACCTATTAGAATGATTAACAGAAGGAAATAAACTGGTAATATCAAGTACTGTCAAGGATATGCAGTAACTAAAACATTGTGTCTGAATGAAAAATGGCATACCTACTTTTTTTAACCTTTTTTTAATAGTTTATTGTCAAGTTGGTTTCCATATAACACGCAGTGCTCATCCCCACAAGTGCCCCCCTCCATGCCCATCACCCCCACTCTCCTCCCCCCATACCCGTCAGTCCTCAGGTTGTTCTCAACATTCAAGAGTCTCTCATGGTTTGCCTCCCTCTCTCTCCCCAACTATTTTCCCCTTCTTCTCCCCCACGGTCCTCCGTTAAGTTCCTCCTAATCCTCCTATATGTGCAAACATAATGGTATTTGTTCTTCTCTGCCTGACTTATTTCACTCAGCATAACATCCTCAAGTTCCATCCATGTTGCTACAAATGGTCAGATTTCATTCTTTTTCATTTCCATGCTTGAACTTTATTTTATCCCAATTATACTCTAATCAACTTAACCTAAAGACAAAAAATCCTATTGACTGTAGGTTAAAGCTTAAACGCCTTTATTGGCCCATCAGTCAGGCCTCTTCAATCTCTTCAACGGTGTGTGAGGCAGAAATCAGATTGCAGTAAGTCATGTGTGACGTCCCCTGCACTTTTCCTTCCTAGGACTTGCCCCAGTTTGACATTGTTAAATGCATCTCTCTGTCTATCTGTACTATTTCCTTCTGCTGTACTGAGAGCTCTGGAGAACACTGTGTTTCCTTTACCCAGCCTCATGCTTAGCAGATAGCAAATGCTTGCTGTTGAATGAATGAATGAATGAATGAATAAATAAATAGAGTAATTAATGAGATAAGTCTTATTGGTGAATTCTACATATTGACACTGAGCATATTTTTGGATTTTTTTTGGAACATACTTTAAAAATTATTTTAAAAGATAGACAGTACTTCTCAATATTATGCAAAAAAAATTCCTGTAGCAATAGTTATTTTTAATCTAAGCCAGTTGATTCCTTACTAGCAGGACAACCAACTTTGATTTTTTTTTATGCTCCCCTCCCCAAAGATTTACAATATATTGTAAAGGTACTCTGTGTGCTCTTCCAGGCTTTTCTGTGTAGTTTCCAATCCAACTTCTTTACTATATTAACCATCTTCCTGGGACACCATCTGGGGTAAATCCTCAGCCAATGACCATCAACTTTATATTTTTCTCTAGCTGCAGTACACGCAAATGAGAATTTGAATCATATAGAAGATCACATCTACTCCAAAAGGCTTTCCCTGGTTGGCATGATTTTTATTCACAGGAAGAAAACACTCACACTTTGATTTTGGTGGCAAGAGATATGTGATCCTTGACTCATCTCTTTCAGATTGGGTCCTACTTTGGGGCCTCCCTCTGCTCTGTGGACATGGACAAAGACGGCAGCTCTGACCTGGTCCTCATTGGGGCCCCCCATTACTACGAGCAGACAAGGGGGGGGCAGGTGTCTGTATGCCCCTTGCCTCGGGGGGTGAGTTGCTGATGGGGCCTGGGCTGAGTGGGATCTGGGTGTGAGCTAGGAGTTACCCACGTTGGACCCTGACACTGTTTTTGTTCTGCAGAGGGCTAAGTGGCAGTGTGAGGCTGTTCTCCGTGGGGAGCAGGGCCACCCCTGGGGCCGCTTTGGGGCAGCCCTGACAGTGCTGGGAGACGTGAATGGAGACAAGGTGACAGACGTGGCCATTGGAGCCCCAGGAGAGCAGGAGAACCGGGGTGCTGTTTACCTATTTCATGGAACCTCAAGATCAAGCATTAGCCCTTCCCACAGCCAGGTGAGGCCCGGTCACTGTCCCTGTTATGATAGTAGCCTCTTTGCTGATCTTCCTTTTCCTTCCTTCCTTCCTTCCTTCCTTCCTTCCTTCCTTCCTTCCTTGTTTCTTTCTGTTTCTTTTTTAATGTTTATTTATTTTTGAGAGAGAGAGAGAGAGACAGCGTAGTAGGAGGAGAGGCAGAGAGAGAGGGAGACAGAGAATTCCAAGCAGGCTCTGTGCTGTCAGAGCAGAGCCCAAAGCTGGGCTCAAACTCATGAACCATGAGATTATGAACTGAGACAAAGTCTGATGCTTAAGCGACTGAGCCACCCAGATGCTCTTCTGTCTCTTTCTTTAAAAAAATTTTTAATGTTTTATTTATTCTTGAGGTGGGGGAGGGGCAGAGAGAGGGAGACACAGAATGAAAAGTAGGCTCTAGACTCTGAGCTGTCAGCACAGAGCCCAACACAGGGCTTGAGCCAGCAAACCCAGAGATCATGACCGAAGTTGGGTGCTTAACTGATGGAGTTACACAGGTGCCCTTGTCGTTTCTAATTCAACATCCTCAGAGTTGCCAGATCAGTTCTCCTAGTACTGCTTTTCAGAATTATCAAAAATAATAACACACTTCATAGAAACTCTTACCACAACTATAGGAGGTGAATGGGGGCACAAACACCCCCTCTTCACAGATGAGCAGATTAAGCCTCAAAGGTGGTAAATGGCTGGCTCCTTGTTCCTGGCTCGATAGAGTCCACTGTTTAGAGGGATCTCCACAATCTGGTTCTCTCCCACCACTGCCAGCTGAGGCCATCGGGTCTTCTGCCTTTGGGTCTCTGACTTTTTTCCAGCCTCACATTTTTCTTATGTCCTTTTTCTCTCTGTCCCCCATCGCTCCTACAAAATCCCCCTCACCAGAGGTTCAATCCTACAAATACATTAAAAATTACTTGAAGGCCTTGGGGCACCTGCCTGGCTCAGGTGGTTAAGTGTCCGACTTCAGCTCGGGTCATTATCTCATGGTTTGTGGGTTTGAGCCCTGTTTTGGGCTCTGTGCTGACAGCTCAGAGCCTGAAGCCTGCTTCACCGTGGAGCCTAATACGGGGTTTGAACTCACAAATTATGAGCTCATGGCCTGAGCCAAAACCAGGAGTTGTATACTTAACTGACTAAGCTACCCAGTGCCCCAGCCCACCTTATTTTTTAATGCACTTCAAAATAAGTTGCAATGCCCCTAAATAGTTCAGTATGTTTATCATTAACTAGAATTCAATATTTGCTTACTGTTGTTTTTGGGATGAAGTTTACAGACAGAAAATGCACAAATCTTTGCCACTGAGTGATTGAGTGGAGCCCAGACAATTTGTCCTCTTGGGTCATTCTGGGTAACTGAGTTACACACTTCCCTATTCTTTCCCACTCCCTTTGTCTCCTATTTTCTACCCCCAGCGGATTGAAAGCTCCCAGCTCTCCCCCACGCTCCAATATTTTGGTCAGTCACTGAGTGGGGGCCAGGACCTCACAATGGATGGACTGGTGGACCTGGCTATAGGGGCCCAAGGCCATGTGCTGCTGCTTAGGTAAGAACTTCTTTTACAGCACACCAAATATTTTCCCTTTCGGGGGGGGGGGGCCTTTGCTGTCTGAAAGCCCTTGATGACCCTCTGTTGTCCCTACAGATCCCAGCCTGTGCTGAGACTTGAGGTGACCATGGAGTTCACACCCAAAGAAGTGGCAAGGAATGTGTTTGAGTGTCATGAAAAGGCGGTGAAAGATCAGACTGCTGGGGAGGTCAGAGTTTGCCTCCGTGTCCGCAAGAATACACCGGACAGGCTAAGAGAAGGTGAGGCTGGGTAGGTAAATCTAAAAGGGTTAAATGTGTGGCCCAATGCAGTCTTCTCGCAGTTGAGAGCAAACTTCCAGACAGGCTTCTACAGCCTTTTCCAAGCTTGGCTGGAGTGAGAAGGCATTTCCCTGACTGGGTGGAGAGGCCCAGCAAACCTCACCAGAAGTGAGCAAGTGGCACTCCTCTACTCTCTCAGTTCTCCAGAGAAACAGTGCCTCCCCCCCCCCCCAACCTGTGAACTAACCAGGATTTTCTTTTAAGTCAAGAGATAACTCATCTAAAGGGCAGGTTGAGTTGATGAAGCTAAATACAAGTTCAGAAAACACTTGGACATGCATTTTATCACAACTAACTTGACTTTACCCTTGTCTCTGATCTGAAAGAAAGGCATTGTAGTTGGTGTGGGGGAATAGTAATGATGGTACTAGAGAGAAATGAGAAGGGAATAAAATTAGGTTTCTAGCAGTAATCTTACTGGGCTGAGGAGATAGCAGTCAGTTTGGGGCAGCTAGCATGGTTAGACATTGACAGAAAAGTGTTGGAGAGTAGAGAATCGTGTAGAAGGTGCCCCAAAGCCTACATATAAATTCCTCTCAAATCATTGGCTGACTTCCTCAGCCATGTATGTCTAGATCAATACTCTAAGAAACTCAGCAGAAGACAGCAGCTGAAGAGTTGAGTAAAAGTTCAGCTCCCTAATGCAGGGGAAATAGGAATTTGAGAGGAGTGTTGGTAAGTAACTTGGTCTTTCTATTGGAACAACGTCTATCCAGACCAGAAACTAAGAGAAACAGTAGACAATAGAAATAGACCCACAGGTGTTTCAGAAATTGGAGTTACTAGGAATTTAAAAAGCAACTACAGTTAAGATCTTCAAGAAAAAAGAGGAAATGATGGAGAACTTCAGAAAAGACCTGGAATTCATAAAATAGAGTAAAATGGAAACTCTAGAACTGAAAAATACCTGGACTGAAATTAAGAATTCAACAAATAGATTTAATAGCAGGTTCGAAGCAAAACAAAGAATTAGTGAACTGGAAGGTAAATCGATGGCAAGTATTTAGATAAACACACACAGAGAAAAGAGGATGAGAAATACAGAAAAAAAATTGTAAGACATATGGAACATGGTGAAAATTTTAATAAACATGTAATTTAGAATTTTAAGAAGAGAGAGGATAAGAAAGAAGCAACAAAATACAGGGAACAAATTTTCTTTTTAAAAAAATTTTATTTAATCATTTTGAGAGAGAGAGAGAGCACACAAGCAAGGAGAGAGAGAGAGAGAGAGAGAGAGAGAGAAAGAGAGAGAATCCCAAGCAGGCTCCAAGCTGTCAGTATGAGCCCAAAGTGGGGCTCATGTGAAATCAAGACCTGAGTTGAAATCAAGAGTTATAACCTTAGCTGACATAGCCACCCAGGTGCCCTAGTGACAATTTTTTAAAAAAAACTCATGGAAGACATCAAGATTCTCTGCCAAAACAAAGAAGGATAAATATAAAGGAAACCATACCATAGTACATTATACCAATGTATAAAACATTATACATTGTACCATACCAAGGCACAGACTACTGAAGACCAAAGACAAAGAGAAAGAAGTTAAAAGCAGTCAGAAAAATATACTTAATTTTCTAGTATGTCACAGAATAGCTACTATTTACTGAGCACTTTCTGTGTGGCAGGACTGTGATAAATGCTTTATAGACACCATTTCATTTCATTTTCACCACTGGGAAGGTACAATTATCTTCCTCAATTTAAAAATAAGGAATGGGCAGGGTGCCTGGGTGGCTCAGTTGGTTAAGTGTCCAATTCTTGACGTCAGTACAGGTCATGATACCATGGTTTGTGAGTTCCAACTACTTGCTCTGTGCTGACAGCGCAGAGCCTGCTTGGGATTCTCTCTCTGCCTCTCTTTCTCTGCCCCTCCTCTCCCTCCCCCCAAAATACACAAACTTAAAAAAATATTTAAAAAATTAGGAATGGGACTCAAAGAGTTCATGCAGCATGCCCAACGTAGAGCTGGGCCTCAAACTCATGATGGTCTGACTCCAAATCTGGGCTCTTCACTACCATGCTGCCCTGCCTCTTTAGGAGAGATTCAGAGCAGCGTCACATATGATATGGCTCTGGATCCAAGACTCTCACATCCCCGAGTTGCCTTTGAAGAGACAAAGAACAGCACACGCAGACAGACAAGGGTCTTGAAGCTGAATCAAGAATGTGAGACCCTGAAGCTATTGTTACTGGTGAGGAAGGGTTGGCTACACTCCTGGGTTCTCCATGCATGGGGTTGGTTTGGGAGGCTAAGGAGGACAAACCCTCAAACCCCTACTATCTCTCAGTATTGTGTAGAGGACTCAGTGAACCCCATCGTCCTGAACTTCAACTTCTCTCTGGTGGGGAAGCCCTTGGCCTTATTCGGGAACCTCCAGCCAGTGCTGGCTGTGGATGCTCAGAGACTCTTCACAGCTTTGGTGAGTTTTTTGGAGTTGGGGTCCCGCAGGGTCATGGAAGAGACCAGAGGCCAAGATTGTTGAAGAGCATTTTATTTCATTTCACATAATTTTATTTCAATATTATATTTTATTTTAACTTAAATTTTAGTTAATATACAGTGCAATATTGGCTTCAGGAGCAGAATTCATCACTTACATACAACATCCAGAGCTCATCACAAGTGCCCTCCTTAATACCCATCACCCATCTTGTTCATCTCTCATGCACTTCTCTCTGTCAACCTTCAGTTTATTCTCTATCATTAAGATTCCCTTGTGATTTGTTTCCCTCTCTTCTCTCCCCATCCCTTTCCCATATGTTCATCTGTTTTGTTCCTTAAGTTCCATATATGAGTGAAATTCATATCGTGTTTGTCTTTCTCTGATTGACATATTTTACTTATCATAATACACTCTAGCTCAATATTTTATTTTATTGTTTCATTTCATTCTTTCCTTTCCTTCCATCATATGCTTTTTTTTTTTTTTTTTTTTTTGTAGTTTCCCTTTGAGCAGAATTGTGGCAGTGACAACATCTGCCACGATGACCTCAGCATCACCTTCACTTTTATGGGGTGAGTTTCTTTTCCTTACTGCTACCTGAAAATCTGCACCATAACCTGGTGCTCAGTTCTCCTGGCCCCTGAGGGAGCCCAGCTGCTCTGGAGGTGTTGGTGCGATTGCCCCATCCACTGTCTTCTCTCTCCAAGTGTCTGTGCCACCAGAAAAGTCTTGCCACATGGAAGCCCTCAGCATCTCATGGCCTGGCTTGTTCTTCCTACAGTCTGGATACCCTGGTGGTGGGTGGTCTTCGAGACGTGAATGTGACACTGACTGTGAGAAACCAGGGCGAGGACTCCTACAGGACTCAAGTTATCTTCTTCTACCCACCTGGCTTGTCCTATCGGCGGGTGTCAGTGGACCAGGTAGTCCAATCCTTCTCAGGCTCTGTCTGACTTTGTTTTCCTTGTGTCCACAGGTGGTGGTTGACATCACCACCTCTGTCTCCCTTGCCTTTCAGAAGCAGCACTCACAGCGACCTTGGCGCCTGACTTGTGAGTCTGATGACTCCATCAGTGGGCCTGAGGCTTTGAAGAATAGCAGTTGCAACATAAACCATCCCATCTTCTCAAACTACTCAGAGGTCAGGCTGCTGTCCTCCTCTTCCTTTCTCTTTTGTCTTTTTCTGAATTCTTCTCTTCTTTTTTTAAAAGTAGAGGCTCCTTTTTTGTGTGTGTTTTGAAAAATAGCTTTACTGAGATATAATTCATATACCATACAATTCACCCATTTCAAGCACACAAATCAGTGCCTTTGTAGTATGTTCACAGAGTTGTACATTCATCACCATGATCAATTTGGAATATTTTATTACCTCAAGAAAAGAGCCAGCTCTCCTTCGCCATCAACTCTAGTCCTTTCATTTCTCCAAGACCTAGGCAACCACTAATGTATTTTTTGTCTCTAGGTTCACCTATTCTGGACATTTCATATAAATTGGATTATATTGTATGTGCTCATGTTTTCAAGGATCATGCATGTTTGCAGCATCTATCAATATTTCATTTCTTTTTACTGCTGAATAGTATTCTATTGTATGGATGCACCACATTTTATTTATACATTCTTTAGTCGATAGACATTTGGGTTGTTTCTTCTATTCTTTTCACCATCTCTTCTTTCTCTAACTCCAGATCACCTTTAATATCACATTTGGTGTGGAATCTGATGCTTCCTTTGGAAACAGACTACTACTCAAGGCCAATGTGACCAGGTGTGCTGTGCCTATCTTATCCCCTTTGAGGCCCAACCCCCTGCCCGGGATGGACCACTGTCCTCTCCCCACTGGTTCTCTCCTCAGTTTATTCAGTTATTTATTTATTCATTCATTCATTCATTCATTCAATAAATACCAACTGAGCACTCACCATGTGCCAGGCATTGTTCTCAGTGCTGGTGGGACAGTGATGGACAAGACAGCTGTGGTTTCTGCCCTTACAGAGATTATAATTTAGTGGGAAGATATCCAGGAAAGCTCTCTGTTTCCTTTTAGTGAGAACAACACAACTAAGACCAACAAAACTGAATTCCAACTGGAGCTGCCTGTGAAATACACTGTCTTCGTGGTGGTCACCAGGTGCTGGCTCTAGGGCTTTAGCTCTGCCTTTACCACTGTGCTGGACATGGCCCATTTTGTATTTGTGTGTGTAAGTCTGTGCACATGAGTGCCTGTGTATGTGTGTCTAGCATATATGTGCCTCAGAGTGTACATGGTATATGTGCCTGTGTATATGTTTGTGTGTGTGACTCAAACTAGCGCATCCTGTGTGTCTGACACAAATCACCCCTTGCCTACTACCCTACTGGCATCTTCTCAGGGCAGCATTACCCATGTGCTTGTTCACTCCCTTACACCCTTGGCCCAAGTCTCCCTCTCAGGACACCTCTGATGTACTGACACCTCCTGTACTTTCTTCTTTCTCCCATCAGCCATGAAGCCTCTACCAAATATCTCAACTTCGTAGCCTTGGAGAAGACCAGCCACATTATAATACACCAATATGAGGTGAGGGGAGCTGAGAAGGAGGACAAGGAGGGAAATCAATGTGATGAGAATGCAATAATGGGAAATAATGATGGGAGACATGCCTCAGGTGCCTACTATGTGCTGGGCTCTGTTCCAAGCTCACTCTCACCCTATCCACACAGAAGGACACACACACACACACACACACACACCTCATTTTATCCTTACAATGAGTCTTTGAAGGAGGCATTGTCATTATCTCCAGTTCACAGATTGAGAAACTGAGGCTCAGAGAGTTTAACAGAGCATGGCCACAGTCTCCCGACTAGTAAGTGGAAGAGACACTACTTATTACCAGCCTATCTAGGTCTTGAATGTGTGTTTAAGTGCTACAATCTACTGGGTCCCAGCAAGTATCAAGAGGGAGGCTGCTTGAGTCTGTGAGGCCTTATTTAGTACTGGGCTGTTAGGAGTGGGAGGCTGATTCCATTTGCTGGTGGGAACATAAAGACCAGAGCTCTGATATCCACTGCCCTCTTCCCACTGTGCAGCTCAACAACTTGGGTCAGAGGAGCCTCCCCATCAGTGTGGTCTTCTGGGTACCTATCAAACTGAACCAGGTGGCCGTGTGGGAAAACCTCCAGGTCACCCTTTCCCAGGTAAGCCTAGTTGGGCTTGATCAGTGGCCCAGCTCCTCCCTCCATAGCCCTGGTCTTTCCTAAAATCTCTGTTTCCTCTGTTGGATTTTGGTGGCACTTTGATACTCTCCTGGACCTATGCCATTTCAGCCTCCTTGAGGGTGGACTCACAAGCCCTCATATCTCTCTCTTCTCACAGTGTCTCTTTTTCCTCAGAACCTCTCCAGCACATGCCACACCGAGGAGAAGTCTCCCCCTCTCTCTGACTTCATGAAAGAGCTTAATAAGGCCCCAGTGGTGGTAAGAATAAGCCAGAACAAGCATTGTCCCTTTGTTGGTGCTCAATACCATCTGTCAACTGAGTGGACTGGATGCATGAGCATTTTCTGTGTCCAGTTTCCTTAGTTACTTCTCCCCTTTCCTCCTTTTCCCAGAACTGCTTCATTGCTGTCTGCCAGAGAATCCAGTGTGACATCCCATCCTTCGGCATCCAGGAAAGAGTCAACATTACCCTCGAAGGCGAACTCTCGTTTGACTGGTATATCAAGGTGTGTGAGGGACAGGACTCAGCTGGGCATGGGCATGATACTTCAGAGGGCCCACGGGTCCAGATTCCATCCTTTCTCTCCTAGACTTCAGCAAACTACCTTCAAGTTGTGAGCACAGCAGAGGTCTTGTTTGATGATTCGAAGTTTGCCCTGCTTCCAGGACAGGAGGCATTTCTGAGGGCCCAGGTATCTGTCTCTGACCCAGAGGGACTATTAGAGGTAGGAGGGGAGGCTGGGTTTGTGGAAGTCTCTGGGTAAAGAGCTAGAGAGACAGAGGAGGAGGAGTGGGAAGAGGAGTGAGAGCAGAGAGAAAGGCCAGTCATTGGGTTAAAGGAATGCAGAAAGCCTGACTAGGAAATCCCTAAAATCTGGAGTTCATCTGTTCCCCTGATGTACCCTCCCTCCCCCTGTTACAGACAGAAACCAAAGTGGAGCCACATGAAGTGCACAACTCTGTACCACTTATAGTGGGCAGCTCAGTAGGGGGGCTGGTGCTTCTGGCCCTCATCAGCGCTGGACTGTACAAGGTATCCCCTCTTCCTTTCTGCTTTCCTCTCCCCTCACTGCTTCTTACTCAACAGCTCATTATTTGGTTTGACTCCCACCAAGTCACAGAGTCTCCATTTTCTTCAGCTATAAAATGAGAATATAAATACCACTTTGTGAAGGTAACTGAGTTAATATATACGTAGTGTACTTTGAATGGTCCTGGGTACAGAATGACCACTATGTAGGGATATTAATCTTTCTCCTTCTAAGTTTTATTTATTTTCTGTTTCCTGGCTCTAACATCAATGCCATCTCTTTCTCTGTCCCACTTTCCCCAGGTCTCTTTACACTCTGCCACATTACTTTTTGCACCCCCTAGATCTTATGTCTCCCCTCCTGGTCTGCATGGCCTTCACCACTTCCCTGACTTCGGTGGCCCTTACTCCTCTGTCTTTGCCTCCACAGCTTGGCTTCTTCAAACGGCAGTACAAGGACATGATGAATGAAGCTGCTCCCGACACCCAGCCCCAGTAACAGCTCCTTCCCCATTGAGTGGCCTCTTCTGCAACAAGTAGGACTTTGGTTAGACCAGCATGCAGGTCCCCAAGCTGTTAGACAGACTCAGCTATTAGGGGAGTGGGGTGGTAGCATTTTATTCAAGAAAGATCAGCTTGGGTTTCCATCCATGTGTATGTATGTTTGTGCAAGTGCGTGTGTCAGCATGTGCATGAGTTGTGTGTGTGATTCAGACGTATTTTGCATGGGGATGAGTGCCTTCAGTACAACCTCTCAGGCAGAAGAGAATTACTTAGGCTTCTTTGTGTATGGGTGAAGGTGCCATTGGGCCTTCCTCTTTTTTTTTTTTTTTTACAAATAGTTTATTGTCAAATTAGTTTCCACATAACACCCAGTGCTCATCCCCACAAGTGCCCTCCTCCATGCCCATCCCCCCCTCACCCTCACATCCATCAGTTCTCAGTTTTTGTCAGCATTCAAGAGTCTCTCATGGTTTGCCTCTCTCCCTTTCCCCCACCATTTCCCCCCTTCTTCTCCCGATTGGTCCTCTGTTAAGTTCCTCCTAGTCCTCCTATACGTGCACACATATGATATTTGTCCTTCTCTGCCTGACTTATTTCGCTCAGCATAACACCCTCAAGGTCCATCCATGTAGCTACACATGGCCAGATTTCATTGTTTCTCATTGCCATGTAGTATTCCATGGTATAGATAAACCACATCTTCTTGATCCATTCGTCTGTTGATGGACACTTAGGCTCTTTCCATGTTTTAGCTATTGTGGAGAGTGCTGCTATGAACATTGGGGTACATGTGCTCCTATGCCTCAGCATTTCTGTATCCCTTGGGTAAATTCCTAGCAGTGCTATTGCTGGGTCATAGGGGAGTTCTATTGTTAGTTTCCTGAGGAACCTCCACACTGTTTTCCAGAGGGGCTGTACCAGTTTACATTCCCACCAACAGTGTAGGAGGGTGCCCGTTTCTCCACATCCTCGCCAGCATCTAGAGTTCTCTGATTTGCTCATTTTAGCCACTCTGACTGGCGTGAGGTGGTATCTCAGTGTGGTTTTGATTTGTATTTCCCTGATGAGGAGGGATGCTGAGCATCGTTTCATGTGTCTGTTGGCCATCTGGATGTCCTCTTTGGAGAAGTGTCTGTTCATGTCTTCTGCCCATTTCTTCACTGGGTTGTTTGTTTTTCGGGCGTGGAGTTTGGTGAGTTCCTTATAGATTCTGGATATTAACCCTTTATCTGATATGTCATTTGCAACTATCTTTTCCCATTCCGTTGGTTGCCTATTAATTTTCTGGGTTGTTTCCTTGGCTGTGCAGAAGCTTTTAATCTTGATGAGGTCCCAACAGTTTATTTTTGCTCTTGATTCCCTTGCTTTTGGGGATGTGTCAAGTAAGAAGTTGCTGCGGTGGAGGTCAAGGAGGTTGTTTCCTGCTTTCTCCTCTAGGGTGTTGATAGTTTCCTGTCTCACGTTCAGGTCCTTTATCCATTTTGAGTTGATTTTTGTGCATGGTGTGAGAAAATGATCTAGTTTCATTCTTCTGCATGTTGCTGTCCAGTTCTCCCAACACCATCTGTTAAAAAGGCTGTCTTTTTTCCATTGGATATTCTTTCCTGCTTTGTCAAAGATCAGTTGGCTGTATACTTTTGGGTCCACTTCTGAGTTCTCAATTCTGTTCCATTGGTCTATGTGTCTGTTTTTGTGCCAATACCATACTGTCTTGAGGATGACAGCTTTGTAGTAGAGGCTGAAGTCTGGGATGGTGATACCTCCCGTTTTGGTTTTATTTTTCAGTATTACTTTGGCTATTCGGGGTCTTTTGTGGTTCCATACAAATTTTTGGATAGTTTGTTCTAGTTTTGAGAAGTATGCTGGTGCAATTTTGATTGGAATTGCATTGAATGTGTAGAGTGCTTTAGGTAGTAATGACATCTTAACTATATTTATTCTTCCTATCCATGAGCATGGAATGTTTTTCCATTTCTTTGTGTCTTCTTCAATTTCCTTCATAAGTTTTCTATAGTTTTCATCATACAGATCTCTTGTATCCTTGGTTAGGTTTATTCCGAGGTATTTTATGGTTTTTTGTGCAATTGTGAATGGGATCAGTTTCTTGATTTCTCTTTCTGTTGCTTCATTATTGGTGTATAAAAATGCAACCGATTTCTGTACGTTGATTTTGTACCCTGCAACTTGGCTGAATTCTTGGATCAGTTCTAGTAGGCTTCTGGTGGAGTCTGTCGGGTTTTCTATGTAGAGTATCATGTCATCTGCGAAGAGTGAAAGTTTGACTTCCTCTTTGCCAATTCTGATGCCTTTGATTTCCTTTTGTTGTCTGATGGCTGATGCTAGGACTTCCAGCACTATGTTAAACAACAGTGGTGAGAGTGGGCATCCCTGTCGTGTTCCTGATCTCAGGGGGAAAGCTCTCGGTTTTTCCCCATTGAGGAGGATGTTAGCTGAAGGCTTCTCATAGATGGCTTTGATGATGTTTAAGTAGGTTCCTTCTATCTCATTGGGCCTTCCTCTTGACAGAAGTGATGGCAGCTTTTGTGGGTGAAGAAAAAGGGAAATCTAACAGATCCTGCTCCTGCTGAAGGAAGCAAGACCTCTTTTCATGGGTGAGGACACAGACCTGCAGGAACCTTGGCAGCTGGATCAAGACCACGTGGAGGAGCCATGTTGGAGCCAGGATCTGATCAGTCACCAGGAGCCTGTCCACTCATTCCATACTAGAGCTACATAAGGTCCAATGAGCAGTGGTGCACCTCCTTTTATGTATGCATTTACTTATTATTTTAATATTACTTTTATTTTTTGGATGGGTAAACCTATCGATAGTACAAAAATCAAAAGATGTGCAGGCATGAATGGTGAAAAGTTTCTCTTCCATCCTGGTCTCCCCAGCCACCTAACTCCTTCCTAAGGGGCTATAAGGTTATGTGTTTTGGGGTCTCTTTCACAAAGATTCTAAGCATATGCAAACACATACATACACACACAAGCTTTTTTACACAAATGGTAACAGGTGTTATTTATACTGTTCTGCATCTTGCTTTATTCATCAATATCGCTTAGAAGTTTTATATTAAGACATAAAGTATTTTTTCATTCTTCTATAGAGCTGTGTAGTATCCCATTGTGTCGGTAGATCATGATGTATTCAACCAGTTTCTTTTCAGTATATTATTTCCAACCTCTTGCAATTACAAACAATGATGAATTAATAAATTGAATGTATGTCATTTTTGCATATGCGTAAAGATAATTTATAGGATATATTCTCAGATGTTTGAGTTCTCCCAGAAGCAAACTCAAGATAAGAATTTGAGTGAAAGAGGTTTACTTAGGAGTTGCCCCAAGAAATAAGGGAGGGATGTGAGCTGAGAAGGAAAGTCATCCAGTAAAGGTGTATTTTCAAGAGGTACTGCTGTGAACCCTTGGAGCCTAATCCTACTGGGATATCTGAGAGATGGAGTAGAATGCAAACCTCAACATTGTTCCACTTGAAGACAGAAGGAGCTAAAGTATGTATAGTTGACCCTTGAACAATGTGGAGCTCAGGGGCACTGACCCCTCACGCAGTTGAAAATCCATGTATGACTTTTGACTCCCCCAAAACTTAATTACTCAGCCTTACTGATAACACAGTCAACACCTAATTTGCATGTTTTATGTATTACATTGTATTATTTTATGTATTCTTATAATAAGTAAGCTAGAGAAAAGAAAATGTTATGAAGAAAATCACAAGGAAGGTGTGCCTGGCTGGCTCAGTCAGTAGAGCATGAGACTCCTCATCTTAGGGTCATGAGTCTAAGTCCCACATTGGACATGGAGCCTATTTAAAATAAAAAGTTTTTTAAATTTAAGAAAAAGAAAATCATAAGGAAGAGAAAATACATTTACAGTACTATATGTATGTTTGTTGGAGAAAATCCACATAAAAGTGGACCTGTGGAATTCAAACCTGTGTTGTTCAAGAGTCAGCTGTACACCAATTCTGCACAGTTATTGGCTGAAGTCTGCTCTTGGTGGGGAGAGGAGTCATGAATCCTCTGGCACTCTGGCCTGTTCTGAATGAGGACAGAGTGGGCTCTGGTGGTCAGAGAAAGAGGTAACAGGTGCTGCTAGTTGGAAATTTGACCAATGAGGCTATGCTCCCCGGGCAAGGTCCACAGATGATCTGGGCAGGGCGCAAACAGCACTTGCTACCTACGGTGTGTACAGGTAAAGTTTTGATAGCTGTTTCTAGGTAGTCTTCCCTCCCCCCTGTGCCCATCTCCCATACCTTTGTCAGTGCAGTAACCACAACTCTGGCCTCAGCATGCATCGTTATTCTCACACTAGTCCTGCTAAGTGGCCACCACTTGCTATTTAATAACATTGCTATTTAATATACCTGAATTTCACTTATGAGAAAACTGAGGCTTGGGGAGATCACACTAATTGCCTGAGGTCATACAGATAGAACTAGAATGGAGCTGGGATTCAAATCTGGTTCTGTCTGGTTCCAAAGCTTTTCTCTTTTACTGTCTTGATGGCTTTTGAGGAATGGCTGTGCAGCAGGGGCAGGCACTAGTTAGGTGTGGGGAGAATGACTTTTATTCAGCTGTTATAATAATATTTGCTGAACTATATGAAAGTGTCAACATGTTTGTTGACAAAAATGACAATTTCATGGGGCTCATCAAAATACAAGAAAATCATGACTTAGACGAACAGAAATGCAAGAAAATCATTGCTTAGATGGAAGTCTGTTTCAGATGTGATAGGAGCAGGGAAGGGCTCTTCCTGCTTGGGAAGGTAAGGAAAGAGTCCCCAGGGAAGGGGACACCTGAATCAAGTTGGGGCAGGAATGTTCCAGGCAGGGGACAGCATAGATGGGGCTAGAGAGTGGGCAAGAACTTGGGCAGATGCACTTTGTAAGCCAGAGTGAGTAGTTCTAATTTTATTTAAAGTGCAATGTGATGTCATCAAAAGGTGACTAATGAGACAATGGCCCTTTGTATCCTTGGGGGTGCCATAACACATGTCACCTTTAGATGATTCCACATAATTTTATCTTCTGACTTTAAAATCAATTTAAAATGCTTTTCTCCTTTCTTAAGTTGAAAAATAAATGACCTTAATATCTCCAGAAGTCCCAGGAAAGGAGAGAGGCTCTGTATCTGCAGGGACCTGCTCTTGGATGAGCAGTTAAAGTCTTGTGGGCTCAGAGTCCACATTGGCATCATTGAATTGGAAGCTTGCGTTGAATTCAGCCAGATAGGAGTTTTATGATGGGTTAGAAAAGAAATAATTTCTTTGTAATAAACAAATTACCTTAACATAACCATAATGTTACTAAGAAACAGGGCCATAAATCTCTCATGATAAGCAGCCAAACCAGGAAAGTCTACCTTTGTTTTTACTTTTTGGGGTCTCTTGCTTCCGAATAAATAAATCCCTTCAGTCTCTACCTTCTTTTTCTTACTTAGTGGTAGGGTTCTTATCTGGGCCACCGTGGAAGATTGTTAGAATTATAATATAATCCCCAATGAATTGTGCCTCTTGTGTCCCACTCCTTTGCAATTGGACATTGTGCTGTTCCTATCAAGTGGAGGGGCCTATCTCTCCCCCCTGGAATCTGGGATGGTCTTGTGGCTTGCTTTGACCAGCAGAATGTGGTGGCTTAAGGGATGTGTTGGAGTTCCAGAGCCTAGGCCATGAGAAGCACTACAGTTCTGCTCCCATCCTCCCAGAATCCCGAGACCACCATACTGAGACCCATCTAGCTCACTGGAGAATGAGCAGCCATGAGGAAGAGATGACTAAGACCGCCAGCTTATAGCGAGAACAACTGGATGTCTGGGGCCATTGTGGTTCTTCTGTCCCAGTCCAGGAATCTGATGACTGCAGCCACTGGCAAGCCCAACAAAAGAACTGCCCAGAACTGTGAGAAATAACATATTATTGATATCTCAATCCACTATGATTTCAAATGGTTTGTTATATCACAATGGATAACTAGTATGGCCACCCAGTTAAAGAGTACATTTCCCAGTTTCCTATACAGCTATGATGACCATGTGGCTATGTTCTGGCTAATGGGATATGAGTAGAGTGAGTGAGCAACTTTGGAGTCTGGTCCTCTGACAGAAGAAGTGTACTTCCTTTCTCCTTACCGTCTTTTTACCAGCTGAAGCATGAATGTTGTGGTGTACCATTTTGGACTTTGCTGACAGGGGCAACATTTAAGAGTGTCAGAGTGAGCCAAGGAGTCTGGTGTCTAACTCTGTAGAACCACCATGTTATCCCTGGGCTCCATAATCTCATATTGTTATAAGAAAGAGAAATCTTCTTTAAGGCACTGGTATTTTGAGCCTCCAACACAGCAGCTACCCCTATATTGTAATACCACTACCTTCTCAAAAGTTCTGTGTTCCTACTTGGTTCAATAAACTAAACTTGTAAGTTCTGAAGGTTTCTTGATGGTGCTGATACCCCAGTTCCTAGCATTTCAGTTCCCTTCTTCCTGTCAGGACTTATGATATTGTTGGCACCCAAAATGGGGGGCTGGAGAATGTTCCACTCTATCCATTCTCAGGCTGGTCACGGGCTTCTGTGGGACCTTCCTGATTAGCCCACTTAGGTTGATCTCCAGGATTTATCCCCAACCTATGAGAGCACAAAGGGGGTCCTTCCTGGTGGCTAAATGACCTGATAGAGAAATTAAGTGTCTCATCTGCATGAGAAAGATACTTGGAAGGTATTTCTCCTTTCTCTCTCTTGAGAAATTACCAGAGATGTGTTCCTGATGGTGTGAATTTCCCCTCCCCAGGGAAAGTTCAGAGCCTTTAAAAAAAAAAAAGTCTATTGCTTTTACTCACATATAGTTTAATTTATTTTTGTTTGTTTCAAGTTTTTATTTAAATTCTAATTAGTTAACATATAGTGTAGGGGTGCCTGGGTGGCTCAGTCTGTTAAGCATCCGACTTCAACTCAGGTCATGATCTCACGGTTCATGGGTTCAAGCCCTGCATCGGGGTCTGTGCTGACAGCTCAGAGCCTGGAGCCTGCTTCAGATTCTGTATCTCCCTCTCTCTCTGACCCTCCCCTGCTCACGCTCTCTCTCTCTCTCAGAAATAAATAAAACATTTAAAAAAATATGGTGTAAAAAAAAATAAATAAAAATAAAAATAAAAAAATATGGTGTAATATTGATTTCAGGAGTAAAATCTAGTGATTCATCAGTTACATAGAACACTTAGTGCTCATGCCAACAAGTTGTCCTCCTTAATACCCATCACCCATCTAACTCATCCCCTGCCCACCTTCCCTCCAGCAACTCTGTTCTCTATAGTTAATAGTCTGTAATAGTTTCCATTCTTCTCTCTCTCCCACCGTCCCCCCTCCCTCCCTCTCTCTCTCTGTCTCTCTCTCTCCCTCCCCTCCCCCCCACTCTCTCTTTTTTACTTCCTTACTCTATGTTCATCTATTTTGTTTTTCAAATTCTACAAATGGATGTAATCATATGGTATTTGTCTTTCTCTGACTGACTTATTTCACTTATCAAAATACACTCTAGCTCCATTCATGTTATTGTTAATGGCAAGATTTCTTTCTTTTTGGTGGCTGAGTAATAGTCCTCAGGTTTTATTTAGCCTACAGAGTTTTGCTTGTTTATTTGTTTTTTATTTTTTAATTTTTTCCCCTTACCCATTTATTTTATTTATTTATTTTTAAAAATAGTTTATTGTCAAGTTGGTTTCCATATAACACCCAGTGCTCATCTCCACAAGTGCCCTCCTCCATGCCCATCATCCCCCTTTCCCTCTCCTCCACCCCCATCAGCCCTCAGTTTGTTCTCGGCATTCAAGAAAGAGTCTCTCATGGTTTGCCTTCCTCTCTCTCCCCCACTATTTTTTCCCTTCTTCTCCACCATGGTCCTCCATTAAGTTCCTCCTAATCCTCCTATCATGCAAACATATGTTATCTGTCCTTCTCTGCCTGACTTATTTCACTCAGCATAACACCCTCAAGTTCCATCCACATTGCTACACATGGCCAGATGTCATACTTTCTCATTGCCATATAGTATTCCATCGTATAGATAAACCACATCTTCTTGATCCATTCGTCCATTGATGGACACTTAAGCTCTTTCCATGTTTTAGCTATTGTTGAGAGTGCTGCTATGAACATTGGGGTACATGTGCCCCTATGCATCAGCACCCCTGTATCCCTTGGGTAAATTCCTAGCAATGCT